ACGACATTGCAGGGTTTCTTAGAATGATTTACCTCTGGGCATTAGGGACTACACTGATGACGTGTTTTGTGCAAATCTTGTAGCTGGCGTGTTATTAGCATCCAGTCAATATATTTACACGCTGGAAGTAAACAACAATACCAATACTTCAAAATCAATTACTGCAAATGAACTGGTACATGCATTTTTTTCTGTACAGGTATCAATTTATATTAAACAAAACGAACCGAGTAACCTAGACATATTGATCTTTAAGCATTAGTAGTGTGTGGATATACTACGAATTAAACATTTAGATTTTATTACATATACTTCCATATTGGTATTGGCAGTCAAAATATCATTTAAAGTTTTCAGTTGATTTATAATTTTATATTCAAATACTCTACTACCGATGATAGCAACCTAAATAATTGACAGCAAAACCCATCCCACAATCATGTTGGGAAGGCAGATGTATTCTAATTTACTAGATTCTCGATTATATATGCAATGTATTAAGATGAAACGTTTCCGGAAAAGTGTTTTTGTGAGTTTTCCATTTCTGGATGGCAACACATTGTAGTGATTAAGCATTTTAATAAACAATGGTTACATCATGAATAAACCTCGTGTCCATCAAAGGTATCTAGAGGTTTCCAGGTAGTTTAATATATATATATATATTTCAAAGTAGCATTTAACACCAACGTAAAACATGAATGTTTCATAATTATATTGCAGAAAGTTTCAAGTTAGTTTACTGATCACGGAAGTACGTGAGCCTACATTTCCTTAAAACAGTCTATTTTATGGCTGTAGGCACGTAAATCTACCTCATGAAATTAATATTAGATAGTGCAATATTAGTTTTCAAATTCAGTACATGCATATATGAGTAACAAGTATAATTTCAACTTTTGTACTGATGACGGTTTTTTTCGGAACTTCAAAATTTTAGAAAGTAATTTAAACATAAAATCAGCACGATGCTTTGTCCCCGGTTACAGAAAATATGTAAAGGGAAATAAATTTCCTCTTTTTATTCTTTTTTTTTTTTCTGAAGAATAAACATTCTTTCTTTTCGGAGCGAACCTTTATTTGGCAATGCTTTAAAAATTAAAAAAACAAAAGACTTTACGCTTTTCTGAATAAGTTGCCGAAGCTATTTTCCTTGAAAAAAGAAGCGTTCGATGTGCTTTGTTTATTGTAAACACCAATGTTTTGAAGATCAATAAACAAAATGAAATATCTATTATCCACTAATCAAATTAAGTGATAATGATTCATGCACAATTACCTTCAACACTGATCCAAGACTTTTCCAATTATATTAGGTGAAAGCAATTCTGACGCTTTTAACCGAATTATGACTGTAAATACGCCATCACAGAATGTAGTTAACAGGAAAAAATATACAAACCGTAATACTAAGCCCTTCATTGCTGCTCATGAATACATTTATAAATAACAAACTACATCGAAATTTGAAAGAAATCTTTAAAAAAAATCTCATATATTACGTTGAAATTAATGTTAAAATGAGGTATGTTCTACTTCCGGTCAAAATTACTTTCAAACTTTCAACATACATCCTGAATTATCCATATCAACAGATAATCATCTTTATCAAATGAAATTCTTTTCCTCAATGGTTCGAATTGACGAAAGTTAAACATGAATTTGAAGCAACAGTACGTAGTTTTCGAGGAAATAATAGAAGGAACCAAATTTCTCTGAAAAAATGTCCCTGATGTTCCGATGTTTTGCGACTTTGCTCTATCGTTGGAAAAGCAATACAATTTAATCTAAAGTGTCTATCTACGCAAATACTTCATTTGATTAAAATATTCACATCACAAACAGCAACCTGAAGGTTACTTCAGCCAGATCGTATTCGGGTATACAATATAGTAAGTAAAGCTAAGGTAGTTATATCAGACATTCCAGACATTACTATTGTTATTATATTATATATATTTTATAACTATTTCAAGCTATAGCAACTGTGCCAATACAAAACTGTCTCAATTTATAATCATAATCCAGGAATACAGCGTACTTCTTAAACAAAACCATTTAAACCATGGCAGGTTGTTCGAGATGTTGAACGACCATTAGCAGTAACAGTTACTGTTTTGTGACAAATTGACCGTGTATTTGATTGTTCAGCATATACGGCAGTTAAAACATTGTCATAACAAAGGACAACTTACAAAATACGTGACATGCTGACACGTCAGCCGGTGCAGACTGCACAAGTCTTTGTATGCAATGTGACGTCATTGCAATGTTGAATTTCCAACACTATCTTTTATAAATACACAAATGAGTCGGGGACTTGGGAGCAGCATCAATTTTATTGTCTGCAATTAACCATAATTAGGGGCCAACGGACATGTATTCGGTATGCATACTGAAATTTGTTTTATACACAATATTTTTAAGTCACAATATTGCCTTTGAAATACGTTAAGCACTCTAATAATATGTCTGATAGTAAAATATCAATCATATGCGTGACTAAAAGGATAAGCAATTTAGGTATAAATGTAGTTACCAACACGAACAGCTGTATGATCAACGTGATAATTTCAATTTCATTTTCACTATTGCGAATTTACCATTTCTGGACAGCGACCTCCCTGCATATTTGTACAATATAAAGCTGGACGTGTTTGATGCTTGTTAGTTTGCCTGTTGGTTCCGTTGAATATATTATTTGCATTTCGTCGAATAAGTAGAAGACGCTTATTCTTCCGCAACACTTGCATTTATTCTTGGACTTTGTTAGGATTCTTCTTGTAAATCTTTATTATGTTTCAATTTTGCCCTAGTTTTATTATATTTGAGTTTGGATTATCATTATGTTTACTTGTTGGTATTTTGGGTTTGCTTTTGGTCCAATTCTGTAAACCAAGATAAACGAGTATACCCATATCAGTTTGAACTCAATTTGTTTGTTTAGCACTTGACTGTGTTGCAAATTCATTTTGAAGAAAATGATAAACTGTTTCAATTCAGAGCTGGCCAGATTAACATCGTTTGTCTGTAGTGTTGGTTTGGTTTACTTTTGCTTCATATCACCTCGGAGACAATTAAGATAGGACAGAACATTATTATCTTGGCTGTGTTGTAGCCATTAATTTCATCAATGCGCGCCTATTTGTAACACTTTAAATACCATTATTTTATTTTTATACAAAATGGAATTTGCAAAACCTTATTGGTTTTTAAATCTCAGGGAGTCAATTTCTCAACCTAAAACAATTCTTGTGATGAAGTTTAAAATATGTCTGTAAGGATGACTCATTTATCCTGGTCGTTATTTTCGTCGCTAGTTACAAAATTGATATTCACTTTGAAATGTTCTGATAATCAATTATTTGTTTCGTTATTGTCAGTTAAATATTTTGCCGAAAGGTTTATGGTTATGCCTAATAATGAAAAAAATGGGTCAACACCTCGGCGCCAATCGAATACTTGGTTCTAGTCGTCTTTTGTTATGTAAGACCATTGCTACTCTAAGCGATACGAACATTTGACGCCAACAATAGTATTCCGATACCGCAGATATGTCACTGGCAGGTGTAAAGATATTATCAAAAATGCAATTCGTGGCAAAGCTTTCTCAGCAAAAATGCAACAAATAGTGAACACAGTTTAATATTGTATGAAAATGCTTCGGCTATTTAGATAAGACCACTTTATCGGTATGACTGTGGGACACATAAACAAAACTCTATTCATACCAGTAGGTGAAGCGCTTGCTTTCTTCTGGTAATAAGAATTTGTGAGCTGATAGGCACATATGACCCATATCGGTAATCTTTGTCACCTGCAGATAGGGGTTAGAATATATCCGTTGTGTTCTACTGCGTGTGGTAAAAGTTCACTGAAAGGGTCAACCTGTCTGCCGTGGGTTGCGTTCCGTTAGTAATGGGAGAAAGGATCATGGTGTTTTCAAGGGGCGGTTATGTGGTTTGCGTATTCTCATGCAATCTCGCATGGCCTTCCCCCAATACATCACTTTGGCCTCTATCTCAGTAAGACGGTGGTCATTGTGATCCTCAAGGATCAATCGGCTGGTGGTGCCAAGCCCTTGGTCAACGTTATGTCCTAAGTGTCAAGTTTTTTCCTTTTCATTTCATTCAACCGTATACCCATCTATTTTTGTAGCTTTTTTACAGTTGTATCTCAGAAGGCGGTGGCTCAAGGATCATTCGAGAGAGATCTATTATTTCGAGTATACTACCTGTGTGTCCTTGGCACTCGTGTACCGGAGATCCGTACCGTTGTAGTGTCCCCTTGTTGGGCTCCGAGGAGGGCAAGGAGCACGGGTAATGAAAATACATACACCTAACTATGGGCACAAAAAAATCAAAACGAACGACCTTGTCCCTCATTATCAGACTCAGAAGATGACCATGATTTCAACCAGTTGGAAAAGGATAAACCAATGTCATCCGTTTCACCATTTGTTATAGAGAAAACAATCCTGTCAGCATGCGTTACTCCAAAGTGTGTTAAAAAAACTGCTGTCTTGTAAACTCCTTGTGGACGCTATCCGCCAGCAACAGGCCAAGAACCTCTTGGGAAAGACAAAGTTTTTCGAGCTGTACAGGTTGTCCCTCATTCCTCCCTGAATACATCAAAGCGCGCTATACTAAGTTACTTCAAAGAAAAACAACAGAAGGTCAACCATGTTAAATGGATCAGGGTGAAGCGAGATGGCAGCATCCGTGACACCAATACTTTCGTTCTTACTTTTAACACACAATTTTACAGAAACGTGTAATGGTTGGCTTCGAAAGTGCTGGTGTGAATGTTTACATCCCAAATCCACTGCGATTTGGTCATTATGCTGATAAATGTAAAAACTAGAACGCTTGTGCTAAATGTGGGGTTGCGGGCCACCAAGATGGGTCGGCAGATGGTGCTTGTGATGGTCGAGCTCACTGCGCTAACCGTGCTGGAAGGCATCCAGCATATTCAAGAGATTGGAAATGAAATCCTTTAAGTATACAAACATTTCTTTCCCTGAAGCAGGAAGGATTGTTGAAGTACCTGTGTCGGGCCAATCCAATGCCAGTCGTGCAACGGTTGGTATTACGACCGTGGAGACCCGTGATGCTGCAACACAGACAAGTGATGCAGGTACACAGACTGACATGGCGTGCGACAATCGTTCTGGCCTTCGGCCTGCTGCATCAAAGACTTCTTCAACACAGTCATCGCGACCACCACTATCACCATCAAAACAGCATCAGAAACCTTCAATCACCATCAAAACCTGCTCTCAGCACTTAAAAAGTGAAAAACCAGCCAAAGTCAAGCCTAACCAAATGATCGTTGGTACCTCGCTTAAATATAAAACCACTTTATAGGGGTGATGTTATGCGATTGGATTCCAGATACCAAATTAATCTTGAATTTACCATCGCTCTAGAGTTTTACAAACGCAACTTGTAAGTGATACTGGGCGGTAACTGGAGGGATCTGTTGTATCTTTATCCTGTTTAGGGATAAGAATCACTGTTGCCATTTTCCATGACTTTGGGACATTTCCTGATCTAAAAATATCAGTCTCTCATTACTTTGTTTGAATGTATTCAAGTGCGAGGTTGATAGCTCGCGCTTCCACCGACAATATTGAAGCGTCGTCCGGTAGCTGGCATCCATAGGCTTCATCTTGTGAAAACATAGCCGCGGCAATCTTTTCATTATCTTTTGAACCATCAGTATATCAATGTAGAAATGTTTTAGGATGTACGCAAGGTGCCAGTATCAGTGCCTGATTTAACCCTTTCATGAAGTCAACTTCAGATGAATTCAAGAGCCAGAGTGAAAGGTCTATAGTTCCCAATGACTTAATTTGATCAATACCAATATTTGTGCTTTGTAAAAGAGCAGAAATCCGAATACCGAATGGAGGAATGGTCTTTGGTTTGTTTTCAAACAAGGTTTATATTTTGGATCAAATATAAGTGAAACTATGTGCAACCCAGACAAATATTCAGTAGCTTATTAATTTGCATCCGTTAATTTATTATTTAGTCATTAGTTACTACACCGTTTAATCCTGTATAAATTCGCTTGAGTGCATTTCCTTATTTCCTGTAATTTGTTAAACCAATTTAAGATGATTTAGCGAACCTCTCGCAAAATTAGTGAATCTGTTGTAAATAAAAAAATGAAATTAATTTTGATTAAACTAAGGCAAGCTATGAGCAGCAGAAAGTTATACATGGAAACACCTTCAGAAAAGAAAAGGGAACACGACCAGGAATCCCAACAGGATGAGTACATTAACATTCGGTGAATAACCAAGAGAAGAGTTTTCAAAAACTATATAGTGTTGTGTTGATGTCAGAGAAGAGCAGAAGATGTTGAGTATCCCCTACTGCATCAGATTTTTAGTAATGATTATCTTCGTTTCCTTAATCAGAAGAAAACAGCCCAAATAAAACTCGTCTATTAAATCACAGGCTTGGAAATTAACTCTTAATTAGAAAATGTCAATAACAGTTGAAATTTTCATTTCCCTTATCTCATTCACTGGACAAAAAGATCTGTACCATGCACACTTGTTTGAATATAATATAGCAACAAATGAATCAGGAGTTGCTTAATGTGTTGGAAACAATCGAAACAGGCAAGAGCATATATGTATAAATAGATGTTGGTAAAATTAAACGTTTTGAGAAACAGGGAAGGAATAATTATCCATATTATTTTCACATAACATCCTAGCCCCCCGTTTTATGTATATATACGTATAATAGAAACCTATGGTACATACTTGTGCATCTTTAGGTATGAAATGTAGTAGTACTGAAAAAACAATAAATATAAATCGGAGTCGTCTTTACACGCTAACACGCAAAGACAGATAGGGTGGTATTTCACAATGCAGTGTCGTGGGCAAAGGAGTCATTCAACCAATGGTTGACATCAGAGATTATCAAGTTACAAGACAGGTATCGTCATATTGCTTTCATTGTTCACTGATGGTAAGGCTACGCTGATTGGTTTAGTAAAAACATATGCACTTCAAAGGCGGTTTATACAGTCTTGATTCAAAACGTAGACGGCAACCTCCTAGGCTCCCAAAAGTAGGGCCTCTAGCACCACTGAAGAGTCCTTGAAGGACTACCAGCTATATGATGCAGTTTCATTCATTGTTTGGCTCAACTGTATTTAACTCTTAATTTGTATTAAAAAGTACTATTCAAGCATTCGACTTTTTACAATCTTCCAGATTGCAGCTGGTAGAAACTGATGGTGGACATTATTCCTCTTGTTTGGCCGTAACCTGCATGCTACGTTTAAATTCAATCGAATACTGGCACCGTTCAGTACATTCACATATTTTTGACAGTGTTCTAAAATTATCTATTTAATGAAAATAACGAAATTTATTTGGCTATGGGGCTAGTGTGCCACCCTGTCTATATTTCGTCTTTTCTTTGGTAAGTAACTTTTTCTGCGTTTCGTTAGTATAGCAGAAAAATATTGTCTGTAAGTTTTTATTGCCATATATAGTATAGGCGTAGGCTGATGAATATGCATTAGGCCAAATAGGCGAGTAAGGCATTTTGCACGTGGTTTTCGTTGTACTGAGTCAGGTATACAGGTGTATTGTATAGGTGGGGTCATTCTAGCCTTGGACAGCATATCGTACAGGCTGTTTTTTATTTTTTAATGTCAGAATTTAGATTTAGTAAAAATAGAATTTTTTATCTATTAACTCGGACATGACAAAGTTGTCGAGTGTAGGTAGTGAGCCAGAAGGTTTTCCAGAGCATTTAGCTCATAGAGTTTATCTCTGGTTTTTAACCCTGGGCTGTATTGTATGGAAATGGAAGTTTAGAAACAAGAGTTATTAGTAGATATGATCAAAATATTTCGGAGTATGTATTTCAAGTAATTTTATATGAATAATACAATAAAACAAAATATGTGTCAAATATTAATAAACGCCGGCTTTCTAGCTGTTCAGCAGGCTAAATGCATACCTGGCATTTGTGTTTTTATTTGATAAAGTGTTTTATGGGAAATAGTTTAGACTTTGTGATGTTTCCCACTCGCCTCCTTCCTGGGCTTCAAATTTATGTCCTTAGCATCAATTACGCGTTCGAAGAAAATCATTCGTTAATTGGCTGTACTGTATCTAACTCTAAATTTATATTAAAAGGTGCTATTCACTTGTGTCTTTTGCACTATCATACAGTTACCAAAAAGACAAGCATGGCGGGTTTCGAGTTTCTACAATAGAGATGTTGCAGAAATTGAGCCACTACACGTTGTCCCTGCTGGTCAAAACGTTATAATATGGAGTGGATCATCAACTTGCTTGCAATCTAGAGGCTGTTCAAAAGATGGGGAATAATGGGTTAAACATTTTAAAGCAATTTTAGGGGGCAATATGCAAAGATTCTAATTACTACATTTAGTACTTTCACATCAACTTCATTTTAGTGCGAACCTTTTTTCGATCATCACTTCTTGGCCCTAATGGCTTCTTCTGTGTCGATGAGCCGTTACGAATATCGCATCAGTGTTATTGTGATACGGTTAAATTAAGTTAAGTTGATGGTTTATCGACTTTACAAATAGGTAAGATTTTTTTCTTAGATATTCTGAAGACCTTTTTAACAGATTTCATTTTTTTACTCTGTACAGGAATCATATTAATTATATTTTGATAAGACTTTTTTTCAAAAAAGAGTTTGGTTTATATTGCTTAACGTATCAGTATTCAATTGACAAACGGCCTTCCGGTGTATGGGAGGTGTGTCGGGGATGGTGTTTTTGAGAAGTTGCGATATATTTGTGTAAGAATTCTTGTGAAAATCATTAACTAAATTGCTACCACACTGCAGTATACTGGTGAAGACTGCCAGCATGACCCCCGACTCTGATACATTTTACTGACAACTGGTAAAGAAATGTGGACGGATTCGTCAGCACTTTTTCAGCAGTCTTTTAGCGCAATGGTACCTGATTAAATGTAAAAAGGTTAACCCAAACCTGTTCTGGAGGGACATTATCAGTGATTATATATTTGTATAAAGAAGGATCATAGCTAGCAAATTCTAAGACTGCTAGCGATGCCCTGCCATTGAATATATTTGCAGCATGAAGCTTAACTAATATTGCTTGAAAATGTCCATAAGCAGGCTCCATTAAAAATAGGTAAAGTCGAATTAGTAACAATCGAGGTCATCGAAAGGGTGTCCATCAATAATGAACAAAAAATACACTTCATTTGTTCCAATCGCATTATACCGAAAACGTGACAGGGTCGGGTCCAGTTTGGTTTGGTTTTGCATTGCTACTAAATGTCCTACCAACAACGTCAAAATGTACGGTTGTCATTTAAGGACGGTTCGGTATATGTAAGTAGATTTTTTTTTGTATTTTTTTTTTTTTGTTTTTGGAGCTGCGATATGTTCCGATAAGTCATTTTGTAATAGTGCAGAAGAAAAACCGACTCATTAGTGTTACCACACTTAAAATGTAATGTTATTTTGTGATGACATTGAGTGAAAGAGCACTGAACTCAAAACTTTCATCACGTGTGAATAGATACTTGAAGATATGAAGAAAATTGATATTTTCTTGCGTATTCATAGTTGTCTGTTTTTCTTAAATTATACCAATATACAACGCGATTTACATATTTTTTTAGACCAGCATTCCTTTAATGTCTTTCCAATGAAGTCCCACAATAGATAAGCCTCGCCCTGATACATTAATTGTAGGCACGGTTTGATTTTGTTACATAAATTTGATTGGAAATGTGTCAGTAAATTCGATTTGAAGAAATTCCCCTATCATAAACACAACAGATCCCTCATTTTCCCGAGCTTGATTACATTACTCATCGTTTCGTGTATTTTAAGCCTCTTAGAAATATAAGGAATTCGGGAAATTAATTAAGTTAATGGATGTTATCCCGTATTTTCAACCTGTTATGTATTATATATCAGATTACTGTTCAAATCTGCTTGCAGTACCTGACATTGATTTGTTTTGGTTGGAATTTCACATAAGTGTTTGTAACCCTAATGCAGTTTCAAAGGAACGTGTGTTTGGAACATAGGATATTAATGTTCTTGGCAAGAACACGAGTCAAATGCTATTTCCTGTAAGAACGACCAAACTATAATCAAGGGCGTCATTATCAGCAGAACATCCTGCATAGCAGCAGAGTTGCTTTAATTAACCTGAAGACATTTTTTGTCCACGATTGCTTGTTTGAAGTAGTATTCACCATGTTTAAACAAAAAAAACAAGAAAAGAAAAAAGGTTAATTAATCCGTTTCCATTCGTAAAACTCATCTAGAAATTTATAGTTATAATCTCTGTGGAGTTATCTGTT